AAAAAGGAGAAAGCCTCTGGGAGAGGCCAGTGAGTTTGGATATCCAAAATGCAAGAATGCCTTGAAACTACCTGTCCTGGAAGTCCTACCTGGAGGAGGCTGGGATAATCTGCGCAATGTGGACATGGGGCGGGTGATGGGTTTGACTTACACCAACTGCAGAACCACAGAGGATGGGCAGTACATCATCCCCGATGAAGTCTTCACCATTCCCCAGAAACAGAGCCACCTGGAGATGAACTCAGAAATCCTGGAGTCCTGGGTGAATTACCAGAGCAGCACCTCCTATTCCATCAACACGGAGCTTTCTCTTTTCTCCAAAATCAATGGGAAGTTCTCCTTTGAGTTCCAGAGGATGAAGACCCTTCAAGTGAAGGATCAAGCTATAACTACCCGAGTTCAGGTAAGAAACCTGGTCTACACAGTCAAAATCAATTCAGCATTAGAACTAAGCCAGGAGTTTAGGAAGGAGCTCATGGACATCTCTGACCGTCTAGAGAATAACCAGACCAGGATGGCCACCTACCTGGCAGAACTCCTGGTCCTCAACTATGGAACTCACGTTATTACCAGTGTAGACGCTGGGGCTGCTCTCATTCAGGAGGACCACATCAGGACCTCCTTCCTGCAGGACAGCCAGAGCAGCCGCAGTGCCGTGACTGCTTCTGCTGGAGTTATCTTCCAAAACATTGTGAACTTCAAATTTGAGGACAACTACACCTTGCAGAATGCCTTCACCAAGAGCTACCTCTCCAATCGAACCAATTCCATGGTGCAGAGCATGGGAAGTGTTCCTTTTTACCCAGGTATCACCCTCCAGACCTGGCAGCAGGGCATCACCAACCACCTGGTGGCTGTAGACCGTACTGGTCTGCCCCTGCATTTCTTCATCAACCCCAACATGCTGCCAGACTTGCCAGGCCCCTTGGTGAAGAAGCTGTCTAAGACAGTGGAGAATGCCGTGAAGCGCTATTATGCATTCAACACCTACCCTGGGTGCACAGATGTCAACTCACCCAACTTTAACTTCCAGGCCAATACTGATGATGGCTCCTGTTAAGGGAAAATGACCAACTTCTCCTTTGGTGG